AGCATGTTTGATTCCCGATCCGGTCGAGGGAATCTTTTCGGGTTGGAAATTTGCTCGATTTACCTGGGTAGAGAGTATCAATGTGCTTGCCACACAATATATAAATTCATGCATTGGTAATTGGCATCGAAAGCTCTCAATTAATAACTTTTTTTTTTTTTATAATTACTTTATTTGTACAGGCTCAATCGAATAAACTTTACAGAGCCGAGTTATTCTTTGCGTTATACATTATTACTGTCTTAAATTTAAAGTTAAAGGAACTGGACCGAGTACTCGCGGTTGTCTCGAGGTTAGTGGAGATTTACAATTTTTTGGATGGGAAAAGGGAAGAAGGAGGTTTGAAATGTGGTTTACGATACAACTATTTAATTAATCCTAAATCAATTAATAACTGTGGATGTGCATTTAGAACACTAAGTTGAGAGCACGAAATAAGTTAATATTCACTAGGCAATAAGCTTGAAATGCGAATAACAAGAAGAAGACCTCTCGGGGTGAGGATTGTCTTGAAGTGACAGATTTTAATGTTAGAGATGTTTATTTCACGAGATCCCAACCATATAGGCAGTTGCTCCGTTCCGCAAAGGTCTTCAGAAATGCAAGGTTTTCAAAATTATGAATAGTTTATGACAAAATTTACTCACTAGATGGAGCTAAAATAAAAATGATCAAGTTGTACCTTCTACATACACATTATATAACGATATTTACAGATCCTGCTTATATAGATGGTTCTCGTCTTGAGCAAAGTTGTTCAGATGGGCAAGACCTGTCCTAAGGTAAAGAGTTTAGTTCAGAACTCACTCACCAGACAGCGCTAGTGTGACATTCATTTTGAATTGTTACCCTAACTTAACATCTTGACTAAATAGAAGGTTTCCATCTTCGGTAAAGTTGTTCAAATGGTCAAGACCAACCCTAAGGTAATGAGTTTAGTTTAGAATTCACACATCAGACAGCGCTACTGTGATATTGATTTTGAATTGCTTGTCCTAACATAACTACTTGAATACTAGATAGAAGGTTCCCATTTGTGGAAAATTTGTTCAGATGGACAAGACCTATTTTATTGTAAAGATATCATATCACTCACCAGGAGGCGCTAGTATGGCATTAATTTTTCATTGTTTGCCCTAATCTAACATATGGACTAGGTAGCAGGTTTCCGTCTTCGGTAAAGTGGTTCACATGGACAAGATTTATCCTAAAGTAATGAGTTTAGTTCATAATTGTCTCACCAGGAGGCACTAGCGTGACATGCATTTTGAATTGTATGCCATAACCTGGCATAACCAGCAGGCTCTGGTCTTTTGGTCTTTACGGAAAGACATAGGGGAAATGGATGTAATGTCGGCCTAAATGCTCCTAATTTGGGTCCGTACATAAATTCAGCAAACGGCTAAATTTTCAATAGCGACCAAAAATATCCATTAGTACCGTCCCAATGACACGTTCATAAAGATAAAATTGATAAATATCAGATTTTTAGCGATGGGCTCAATCTTAGATCCATAGGCCAACATAAGAGCCATTTCCCCTACCACTCTGAAATTTTCACCGGATAAGAAATTTTAAGCAAGAATGCGAATTTTAGAAATTGTTTCCTTGTTTTAATTTGCGATTTTCCTGCACTGTAAAAATTTTCGTGTAATACATTTTTCAGGATATATTTTTTATTGATTGCTGAGATAATTTCCTTATGAGTTGAGTTTTAGTAGGGATCGAAGTAGGCCGCGCTGCGAAAATGACGTGGATTTGTTTTGCTGCGTCGTTTGCGTTCTAGTGAAAATGTTATAAATTTTCCATTTTATTTTAAAAAAAGTGTTAATTTGAAAGCACAGAAGTCATGTTGAAAAGTGCATAAAGTGAAAATTTTCAAATTTCTATCCGTTGCATATGGTGCCGAATGTTCTAATCTATGCGTAGGTAGCTAAACTCAGCTAAGTTTATTTACGTTTTCGTTCCTCTGTTCTCGATAGGAAATATCCATCTAATTCAAGACGATCATTTTAAAACTTTCTAAATACGCGTCAATCAAGCATTGCACTACCCTAGTAGCACGCTTGTCGCAAATCAATTGTAGAAACTTATATACGACTTATTTCAGTCATAAACAAGTTGCTGTAACTTATTGTGATAAAAGTGTGCTACTCGGGTACTGCTTGATTGAAATTTTCAGTACGTTATCAATGGTGTATATACTTTACTTTTTGTTCATCGTTCATACAACATGCTCCATGCACTACTATGCAAAAAATAATATCCGAAAATAGATATTTCGTTTCGGTTCAACAATGGTTCAGTAGAGAGAAAAAATTAAACAAAACAGCCAAAAAAAAAAACAAAAATTGAATTTGTTCACTTCGTTCACTAAATGCAATATATGAAAAGCGTGCGTCCGCTTGATTTGTGTCGGTTGACAAGACATGTCTGCACCCGTCAGATACTGTGATGGAAAAGAGAACCATGCTGTCACCACACCGTTCCGGTCACAGATCGAAACGGTCTGCGCGAGCTGCTGGGTTCCATTCTAGGAATGATGACTAGGTTGGTCCGATGTTGTTTGTGATGTTGTCGAGTATGGAAGATGGCGTTTCGGTTTTAGAAAGACTGGAGTAGTCGAAGAAAGGACGCTGCTTCGTTCACACGGGTGATGATGGGCGAGCGAGATGCGGCTTATGCGACCTTGTAGTATCGGACGCACTTGGCACTTCCAGCGGTCATGGTGGCAGTCAGGTCTGTCTCGGTGAACTCACGAATAATGGTGGTTGGTTTTTCGCCCTTCTGCTCATGGACCAGCTTGTTGTTGCCCTCGAGGGTGCACACAGACTTGACCTTGCGTCCGTCGACAGTTTCCTCTTCGAATTCCTCGCCGAGCTTGAACTTGATGGTGGTGTTCTTGAAGGTCGACGTGGTGTTGAAGGTGTACTCATCGCCCTCCTTGACTAGTTCGACCGTTGGGGAGATGCTGTTGCCGAGCTTGCGGAGCACCAGACCGACACCGAGGGCCTTCATGTAGTCATCGAATCCTTCGGACTTCTCCATCTTGTACTTCCTTCCTACCCAGGCTGCCATTGTTGAGGATATAGAGTGTTGTTTCAAAATTTGGAACAAAAAGTGAGCACCGCACAAACCACTACTGACTGTAAAGAACCACCGGTCACACTGGAATCTGTACTTGCAACGATGATGTATTGGAGCGGGGCTAAACATGTGTGAAAATAGCTTCGGAATGCTTGCGTTCTTGAAATGGGCTATTGTAGCTGCGGTAGTTCTGTCACCTTCTAACTCTGAACCCGTTTCTTTGTATTCATTGCAGGCAGATTTTATCCATAATACCAATGCCAGACAGTGAGAGTTAGGCCAATGGCGAATTTTCATTCTAATCTACGATTCCACATATTATTAATAACCTTTTACACATCAGAATGAATTGTGCATATTTTTAGGATCAACAAACATTTTCAGTCGCAAAGGAGCAACAGGATCGAGCTGATAGCGTTTCTTAATTCCAAAATCTGAAGACTGTTTTAAATAATATGTTTAGGTAATGGGCAGCAACAACGGACAGATAAACTACGTACAGCTTCTATTTATTAAATGCTTGATATACCGATTGCCAGTATCGCCGGCTGGGCGTATCCTATGGCTTACCCTCACTACTAACAAAAATGCACCCTTCCCGTAACACTTATGATGGATCGTAGAGTTTTCTGCATCTCTCTTAAGTGTCGGACTAACATTCCTCCCAATTTCCCCACCAGATGCAAGGACGTGGCTAGGAAAGCTCTGGTCTGTTGGAAGGAGACACATCCTTTATCTAAGAGGTAGTAATTAATCACAAATTACTATCTAACAACAACGGATGAAGGTGGGTCTCCTTATTAACAACAGTTTGGAGCTCGTACCCCCTACGACATTATGCAACCTGGTTTTGCTGAGATAATTTACTTATCATTTCATTATACACAATTCTCAATCGAAAATACTTATATCATAAGTTATGAATTTTCAATGCAAGTGATGTCTAGAAAAATAAGTAGATATCAATCAAAAATTACTGGAAAAATTAACAACTTCAATGTATTATTATTTCGTTCATATAAGCATAAGCATACTTGTGGGCAAAATTTCTAAACATGCTGAGACCCTTCGGTGCATTTTATCCGATTTTTAAAAGAAATCCCCTATGGTGCCTTCCAGAAACTCCCTTGCATCACGATTTTAAAATGAAACAAACCTAAAATATGCTCTTATTTGTAACCTAGTTTGAAGTAGAATATGTTGTACCGCAAGTGCAAATATACATTGCAGCAATTTTCTCAGCCTAGTTTTATTGTTCGTGTGTTCCGCCCACGACCTATCACAGCACAGGCACCATACCGCAGAACACTCGCCCATCTCTGGCTGCACACCACCAGCTTCTACAAAGTCACGATTTCACCGCGGTCGGTGGTCGGTATCATTAATATTGCCAGCCTTGCGTTCGATCTGTTTCCATGAATTTCTTATACCCTTGGCAACCAAAATACTCATGTGATTTAGATACGTTTCAGATTTGCAACACCCTCCTTTTGTATAAATTTATAATGTTATAGGCGTCTGGAATAATTATAGTTCTCAATAGCTCCAATTTGGATTTTTAACAATCGTCTATTTTGGTCAATAAGGTGCGTTCGTGAGAAGGCTCACCATTCCAATCCAGCAGACTAACGCTGTGTGCGCACCGATAATTTACCTTAATGATCATAACAGACCTGTAGTAAGCTACCAACCAAACACGAAATCAATGAAGGAGCACCGCTGAAAAGGCAAATGAACTTTTGGTCGTCCATATGGCGTTACAATTGGGTGCACTTTGCAAAATACCTATTGCTGTATTGACGAGTTACGTGTTACTGAAATGTGATAAGCGAAACACTAAAAAATCAACAATTTGCTAATGCAATGAAGTGCCATTACTAATGAGATATTTTTCCGATTTTCCTTTCTTTCAGACAATAGCTACATTCACACGATGTGCTCAGATTCCTTCCATCAAACGTAAGTATATCAATTGGCCGTGAACGTAGAGAGAGGTGTTTACTGTTCCATACTGCTAGCCGAACGGAGGAAATGTTGTTGCGCAAATTATTCATTGTCGGACATAATTGAATACAAAACCAAGTAGGTTCGTTGACTGACGATCAGTTAGTGTCGAGTATCAATTAATTGGCACATTTATCACTTAGAACCCAAGCTATTATGTATAGATGCTTTAACTACATTGTTATAGCGGAAGTTGTTAGTTAGGTGTGAATCCGCTACGAGTTGAAAGCTTGCTGCCATCAAAACACCTCGAAGGCATCTGCGAGCACGACTTCCTTCTTAGTTGGTAACTGTGTTCCAACATGTTGGCACTAGAAACCATCGATTTATCCACTCGATTCCGGTTCTAGGCGTAAAACAAACATAGACCTACAATAAAGTACACGATGGCGACGATGGGAAGGCGTTCCAGTGTATCTGATTATTCCATTATTACGTTTCTTTGCCAGAGTTCCTCTCTTCACACTTTCTGCACTTCGCTTCTCTGATGCTTTTTTGCATTTTGAGAGATAGAACAGCAGAAAGGAAGGCATAAAGATGACTAAGGTAATTCAATATTCGTGTAAATCGTCTGTTGAACTCGAAAAAATTGAGAAACTGGGGCCTCATTGCGCAAGTCGAGACAAAGAAGCTCCGAATGCTCAATTTTGAACTAACTATACAGACAGTCTTCCGCTTAATCTAATTCCGTTTTGGCTTTTATCGATTCAAATTGGAATAAATTGGAACATTACGCTTGTTCTCAGTTCAGTTTTATTGGCCAAATTCCAAAGTCTCCGATTAAGACCCTTCTAAACATGTGCCATTTTTGGATATACTCTATGTCCAACTTGAAATGTCTCGACTGGTGTGGAAATTGAACTCACTGCCTGCCGAATGTGTTTTGCTATGTAGCAGCGCCTTTACTGATTGGTCTAACGAAAGTCTCTAAGTAGCTAAAGAATGATTAGAAAAGGGTGGTAGGCTGTGAGCAACAGGTCGCAACGATTGTTGAAAGCCTAATTTGCATTTGAAATGTCGTAAGTAAATCTCATTTTCTCAATATGAGAAAAATAACATTTCTGGAATTTGGGGAAAATAAGAACTTTGTAGTTCATCAACAATACAACATACTAATGCAGCATTTGGAATAGTTTTTCTTGATCATATTTTCTAAAGCCAGAACTTCAATAGAGCTTATAATAAACAAATTATTCAATTCAGAACGCCCGCTTATTTATCTAGGAGTGAATGGCCGGGATTGACGATGAAAGTGCAAAAATAAAACTGACATGGAAGAGAAGGTAATCATTCCTAATTTTGTGCGGATGCTAAAATTAGCTGGAGCAATCATTAATGTTGGTTTGTTGTTGGTTATCGTGCGGAGCCGGGATCCATGCACGAGGAGATTGTTTCGGAGTCCGTCTGCTTTATGCAAAATGTATACTAGGGTACCAATGAAAAAACTGCAGAATCCGACCAATTTTTTTCATCTGAAAAATCATCCAAGGTATATACAATTTCGGAACTAGATTTTTTTCCAAATGACTTTGGTGTATTCACTCAACTTTGGTGAAAGACTGCAGGAAAGGTGCTTCAAAATATGTGGTATTTGTTAAGCGCAGAATTGAATATATTTTTAAGCTCTGTGGAGAAGATTTCAGCTCAATCGATCATAAATAAGAGAACAAAGTTACAAAATGTCAATGTTGACCAATTTTTATGAAAATTTTGTTATTCGATACAATGTGCTTCTATTATTTTGAGCAGAACTACAGTGTATCTCAAAATTGATCGTACAGCTGTACAACAAATTTTTGAAAGAAAAAAAAACGGCTCTTGGAGCACAAGTTAAAAAGATACGTCTCTGAATTTTCGGCGGCTGACTCAGCATACATTTATCAATTATTGGCTCAGTATTGGGCATATTTGGCTGCGTTTCAAAACGTTAGAGCAATTTAAAGAAAACGCCTTTTTCTTGAAGAACGTTATTTCCTTAAAATAAAATAAACATAAATTCTTGAAATTTTGCTCATTTTGTGTCGTAATAAATATTTTCATCTGCCACTAATTTTACTAAAACTCGTTCACTAGGTAAAAAGTTGAAATTCGAGCTTTTTACTAAAATAAATCTAACTTCATACATGCTCTGTTCAATAACCAGCCACGATTTAAAAAATACGTCTATTTACCATGTTTAAACAAAAATATTCTAGGGTGTACGATCAATTTTGAGATACACTGCATATATTCGAGATCTTAACAACTTTTCTAGCGACTATACAATCTTGAAATTATTATTAGTCCTCTACCTAATTAACCACTCGGTCAAATGAATTTCAGCGTAAGGACTGTTCAAAATATAAACTGGTCTTTAACTTTATATTATCCAGTGCATCCTTATTTTTCATTCAGGATATGTATGTGTATTGCTTAAATTAATGATAATCAAATGCATAACCTTAACGGCGCCGGTGGTGTAGTGGTAAGCGTGATTACCTCTCACCCCAGCAGGCCTGGGTTCAATCCCAGTTGGTGCCGCCGGGATGTTCTGAGGCATAACATCTCTGATCACGCCTTCCTTCGGATGGGAAGTAAAGCCGTTGGTCCCCGGTTCATGAGTTGATGGGTCGATAGGTAGGGTCCAGGTGTGGGAGCTGCCTTCCTGGCACGTCGGTAGCATTGGTGCTCAGCACGGAAAACAAGATCGACGGAAAAAACAAACCAAAGGAAAAAAAAATGCATAACTTCAGAAAGAACCTTCAATGCAAGTATTTTCAAAAAATGCATTTACAAATACAAAAAAAAATATTCCATCTTTTTGATTTCTCGCGAAGCAAAACAAGTTTTTTTCGTGTTTTCTATGAGACCCTCTTTATCCTTTTTATCTTAACCTTTAAGAAAAAAATCTTATCTTTACAATTGCCTGGCAATTTAATTATAATCAAATCTGATAAACTGATAAAGTGTATTGGCATAGCTGATGGTCAGAACGAAATTTATTTTATGTGTTTCAAATGTGTATATTCAATTCAAATTGACTGAAAACTGTCACTGAAAAGCTAAAACTAACATTATTAGAAACTATTTAATATTAGCAGTGCCGGTGGTGTAGTGGTAAGTTCGATTGCCTCTCGCCCCAAAGGGCCTGGGCCCAATCCCAGTCGGCACCGGCGGAATTTTCTGAGCCATAAAATCGCTGATCATTCCTTCCTTCGGATGGAAAGTATAGCCGTTGGTCCTAGGTCCATGAGTTGATGGGTCGATAGATAGGTTCCAGGTGTGGAAGCTGCCTCCCTGGTTTTGGTAGCATTGGCTGAGTCATTTTGAACATTTTTGATAATTCAGGAGCCTTAAAAACTTTACATATCACAAATATTTGATTTTTTTTTTTTTCATTTCTGGGATATTGATTGCCCATAGAGGACTATTCTCACAAACCTTACTGTTACACGTATATGAATGTTCTAGCTACATAAGCTTAAACAATTGTATAAGACCAGGATCTTGAAAATTGTTCTCAGATCGTTTGTTAATCCTGGATCATTAATTTCTGTGCACGGAAACATGAAATTTTTTCAATGTTTTTAAGTTAGTAAATTATGTCTTATCTCTGAATATCTTTCCAATTTTTAAAGGATTTGTTTTGGAAGTTCAGAATTCAGAATTACATTTAAATTCCCTAAATTTCTCTTAATAATCTTATAATTTTATCCAATATTCCCAAGAAATTATCTCGAAATTGTTTGCAGAACGCTTCAGAAATTCCTTCTTGATTTTTTTTTAATTTCACTTTTAATTTATTTTCGCAGTCTTAATAGTTCTCATAAGAATTTATTTACCTGTAATTTCACTGAATCTACTAAATGCGTGTCGATACTGTGACACAGCACGCCTGTCCCACTTGTTCGCAGCGTCCGCACGCATTTTGCAAGTTTGATACCACGGCTGCTGATTTCTGTCCATAAGTTTCTTCAGAAATCACTTGAAATATTCCTCTCAAAACTCTTGGTTTGCCATTTAGAATTGAGAAATGTAATTTCCTTAGATTTCAACTCAGAACTTTAGAGGAACTGTCCTTAGTATTCTCTAGGAAATTTCTCCCGATTCTCTTGCAGCATTACAGTAGCATGCTCATAGTGTCTTTGGAAAAATACTCAATGTTTCTTGCCACATCTTCCCAGAAACTCCATGAAATTCCTTCATTCTTATAAATTCTCCTGAAATTATCTATTAATTTCTATCAATCTGGCATTGAATTACTCAAAAAAATTTTTGAGAAATTTTAAGAATTTTATATCTCTTTGATTGGTTGATTGATTGATTAACATTTACGAAATTTTCAGCCATACTCGAGCAGGAGAAAATTACTTATTAATACATAATTCAGCTATGAAAATAGCATAACTGGCAACCTAAAAATAGTATTGACGGGCCAGACATAAGAACCAACAATTCTTCATGCCAGAATACCATTATTTATTATTTAAATAGCCTTTTAATACTAATTCAATATCTCTTTTAAGTGTTTTTGACTAAAAGCTGACAGATCATGTCATGATATTTTGGTATTTATTTGATATTTTACTAGATATTTGGATAACTGACTAATATCAAAATATGGTTTTATACCGTAAGCGTTCCAAAATAAGTTATTATACCTAATTGTGATATTCATATGTTATCGATTAATAATAAGTTCTTGCTCGGATAATTGACCATCAGGTGTAATTTCAAGATGGTAGTCGTGTGGTGAAGTTTGCTGTAGGAACGAGGCTCCGAATTCATTAAGAATGCTTTCTGAAATTCTATTCGATTTGCTCTAGAGATTCCTAGAATTAAAATCGTAATCGTAATGGATCATATCATTCAAACAGGTTAAAATTACCTACTCAAACTTTTCTGTGGGATACTATTTTGAAAAATTCTTATGCTGCTCGACAATATGACTAATTGTAAATTTTAATTTAATGGTT